AGATAACTTTTTGAATAACATAATTAAAATCTTACTAATTTTACAATAAAATGCTATCAAGATGATGCTTATTTTTTAATTTATTTGGATTGCATAATTATTAATATAGTTTAAAATAGGTGGGATAAACTAACATAACTTTTTAGATCATTATCTATCGAATTTTGAAAGAATATCCCAATTTTGCTAGATTATTAATAGAGTATAGAATTATGTTATATCCTTTTATGTTATTAATGATATATTGAAGTATTTGAGTGATCGGCCAAATATGAATGAGAGTTCAACCTAATAAGTTATTATTTAGAGGGTCTTTATAAGTAAGAGTTTTCATATATTGATTATTATATCAGAGAAAAAAGAGATGAATTATTGATAATCATATCAGAGAAAAAAAGAGATTAATTTGGAGAGGATTCTAGATAATAGTGAACTTCTAAAACTTTGCCCTTATTATGAATATTTTATTTAGAGTAAATTAATTTTTGTTCGGGAGAAGATATGTAACCTTAGTTTTGCTGTTACATCCATAGATTCCCTTGTTGGGTAGATATTGAGAATTTAAATATTGATAAAGAGTTAATTTGTAAGATTTATATTAGGTGGCTTACTTTAATACATTTTGGTGGTATTGTTTAGAAATCCTAAAGGATGTTCTTTGTTTGTCAATATCCCAGAGATTCTGGATGTTAAACATTTAGAATAGTCTACTCTATGATTATTGTTTATAGGATAGTAAATTATAAATTTTTTGCTGTCATTATAAATTAGCAAATTATGTATTTCATAAAGTAAGTCCTTCATTTAGATTTATAACTTTGAGGAGAAGTCTTACAGGAATAGTAATTCTAATATGCCTATTTACTTTGAGATTGAAAAAAGATTTGATAGATCGGAATACTTAAGTTATGGAGCTTATGTTTAAGGCAATGATGATATAAATAATATCTGAAACAATTCCAAATATTCTAGTAAATTAGTAAAAATAGTTCATTTTATAACAATCTTTAATCTGATGATCGTAATTGATGGCATTTAACTGGAGAATAATTTATTAACTTAAATAATGAATTATTATATGTATAATGTTTTTTAGATATTTAAAACTCAAGCAACATAAATCTCTCTAATTAAATAGAATTGAATTTAATCATTAATAATAAAGTAGTTGAATTTATGAACAATATTTGATGTAATATTTAGTTCTATAATACTATAATTAATTCAATTAAAAATTTCATATCTTTATTTTAATATTAATGACATGAATTCAAGAGTCTAATGTGATCTTAATTTTTTTAATTAATTATATATGATTTAATCAAAAATGATAGAAAAAGAAGAAGATCTTTTTTGTTCTTA